GAAAAAAAGATCAATGAACTGAATGACCGATTTCCTCTGCAGAATAACTGTTCCTGTAGTTCTGTAGAAAGAAAATAAAACGCTGTCTTGCTGACATTTCAGCTAACCTTGTTGTATATTCCAACAAGAAGCCATGTTTATGGAAACCTTAAATGGTTTTTAACTTGCAAAAAGCAAGTGAATGATAATTTGCAAATGTGCATCCCGCCGGATGCATTGGGTTTATATTTAATCGCCATGTAGTCTTTGATAAATGTTCGATTCCTATGCTTCATATTGGCTTGCATGCGCAAATTGCTGATTTTCAAAACCCTTCCAAATGAATGATACAGAACTGGCTAGACCAACTGAATCCTGACCTCATTTGGCTTCAGTAAGTCTGCGAGTTGCCAATGTGGTCGGAATTTAGTCAGATTGGTGTTATAGTGAATAACCCTATAAGGCTCACAGGTATATAACACTTTTTCCAAATTCCCAAAAGGTTTTTTATAGCTTAGCCACATGCCATTGCTTTCTATTTATCTCTCATTGCCTCCTAACATTTCTTCCTTTAACTTTTTTCTATCTCTATTTTCTTCCTTGTGTCTTTCTCTTTGACCAATTTTGTGTCCCTAGATCGGCTTAGTTTACAATACAATCTCTTAAATCTTCACTTAGATTTTGCTTCTCTAATCCAGTTTCTTCTATCCAGTACACTATTTCAGTTTTCCTTCTGTTAGTCTTTCAAACAAGAATTGCTAACTACTTTGCATTTATACCTAAAACTATCAACTTTAATGCCATATGTCCTTCTCACTCATCCTGATGCCTACCATCTATTTATTCTATGTCTAATTTTGTCTTTTTGATTTACTCATTTTTTCACTTGTGTTCATTTGCCCACCTCTTACACCACCATCCCATCTCAATTTCATATTCCACTACATGCCAAACTGTAATCATTTCCATCTTTTATGGTTGAGAAATAATTAAAGTTTCAGATTCACGAAAGCGCATACGAGGTATACTCAAAATCCTTGGTGCATAACATTTTAATTGACATCCTATACATACTGGGAATTCAAAAAAATCACATCATCAACCAGAAAGAAGCAAATTAATTCACCAAAACGTAATTTCTTTAAAAATTACATTATACTAAATATAATGATCACATTTGTTACTTGACTTTGCCACGTGGATTTAAAACCACATAATGTCCTCCTTTTACTTACATATAATAACATACTTATGCATACCAATTTTTGCCTTTTCTAAAATGACATATAGCTTGAACAGCCTAGATCCAGGAAAAAAAACAACATACAAAATGTAATGTATGAGTGTAGATTCATAAGAGCTAAACTCTAAAGCATGTGTTGGTGGAAAAAATGTTTTGTAACTGCTAGCATTCTGCATTAATAAAAACTCAACCAATCAATGTCCTTGAGAATTCCATTGATAAATGTTAGCTTTGAAAATCATATGGAAACATGTCAGCAAAGGTTTTTATAACATACTAAATGTATCATGAATGTAACTAGTTACTGTAGGAGGAACTGAACCTTGTTAGTTCAGTAGTTTAGCATTTGTATTCTCAACAATTTAAACAATATTATGTGAATATTATACAATCATACAATAAATGAAAGAGAACAAGTGCTCTAAAATAGCCAGCTATAATTGTTATAACTTCAATTTATACAAAAAAGAAATGACTTATAAATATGTAGTAACTGCTCGAGAAAATAAAAGCAGTTTATCTAGGAGAAATTTTGATGAGAAACAGACATAAATAGGCACTAGTTTGCAGAAAAAATACATATTATTGGCTATTAGAGCTGACTCGGCTTAACATATAAGATAGCTACAAAATGGTCAAATAACAAGCCATGGTCAAAATAGTACAGAGCAACAACAGGACAAGGTAAACAATTTAAAGTCAGAATAGGAAAAATCAGTGAAGTCAAGGTACAAGCCAAAGTAAAAAAGATATATATCAATAACACACAGGAATGTCCTCTTGGGCTACTAGGGACCACGAGAGGGAACTGAGCTCTGCAAGGACTGAGTATAAATAAGCCTAGTGTCTGAAATAATCACTATGGCACAAAAATGTCAAAGGACCGTGATGCCATCATAATGTTGCACTTGCATATTTTTTACTAAACATACAGTCAATGATGGAGTGTACCGCAACATTCTTGATGCCGAATCGACACACGGCATCAATATGGAGATTTGGAATCAATGATGAACATCTCATGCCATTAGTAACTCCGTTATCATGTCACTGATTAGGAAGTAATGTGACAGTATTGATGCATGAATGTCATCGGTTACAAAGTCCTCATCAACATTGTTGCAGAAGGTGGTGCACAGTATCGTTAGGCTGGGAAGAATTATGCCAGCTTGAGGAGGGTACCCTGACACCGGTTAAGGGGAAGTTTGGAGTTAAGTTGCCTGCTGTCTCATTCTGTGCAATTATTTCCTCAGAAATACAGGTAAACAAAGACATTGCACAGTGAATATAGTGTAGGATGCTGGATTTTGGACTAGTACAATATATTTTACTGAGGAGTTTAGAAGTAATAAATAATAGGTAAATAAGGTAAGGACAAGTCTAGTGAGATATTGAGACAAGATGCAATTAATGTTCTTTAATAGTTTAAGAAGGGGAAAATGGTGGACAATAGTGATAATAAGACTGGGCAATCTCTGGAAAATGTGGTTTGTACCAATAATGCTTAGCAGTTTGAGTATAGAGGATGAAGATAAACTGGAACATCTGCTTTAAACTGCCTAGATTATACCGAGAAAGGCTGAGAAATATATTTTGCAGTCTGGGCAGTGTAGAGAATCACTAACCTTGCCTAAAATTCCAGATTTTAGATGAACTGGAAACATATAATTGCTAGTCCCATCTGTTGTATCATTTTCCAGTAAAAAAACAAGTTACCTTCTACAGGATTTGCATTACAGTACTGAGGCCAACTATAACTATCTGTTTGGAAGTCGCAACATGTAGTTCTCATTGCAAAAGCTTGACTTGGCACTCAAAAGCAGGAGAAACACCACCCCAGTTGCAAGAGTCCAGAACGCACATATAAACAAAATTAACGTAACAAAAAGAGAACTGTAGAATAAATAAAACTGGAAACATATGCAAAAAACAATAAAAGTGATGGTTGTAGATAACCCACCAACCACTAGTGCCACTAACATAAACAAAGAAAAAGCTGATTGTTTATGATACTATTTTGAAGCACCATAGTATAATATGTGTGTTGAGTTTACGTATATTAACTGACCTGGAAAGTTCAACGTAGATTTTGTCTCCCTACTCTAAAATCACATATGTAAATAAGATCATATTATATATATGGCATATAGCATATATAGCATGGCACACCATTCCTTTGAATTATATATACATATTGCTCCTGTCACCTATGTGCTGGATTGTCTCAGAGGTATCTTTGCTTAGTCTGCACCTTGGGTCCTGTGTGGTGTTTTGGACCCCGCTTCCATTGATCTGGTGCTGAGTGCCTCTTCCTATGCCCCTAATATTAGTGCTTCCGTGCTATCTTTAATATCTGTTTTTTGCAGCCACTGGTAGGATTTCATAATGTGAGTCACATCCACTATCTGCCAATGGTAGATACGATTAAGTGGTTTGTCTTACATGGAACATCCTCTTTGTCTGCATCTTCTACCTGTTGTTGTTTCAGGAATTCCCTTAGCAGTTCTTCTTTGAGTGCTATCTTCAAGTACATCACATTACTGGGCAAGTAACATGAATGCTCTTTGTTTCTTCAGTGACTGTGGCCTTGGCACTCATCATACCCCGACCATCTTTGTTCTGGCTGGTGTACAGATACTGGGTGCTGCTGAAATGTGGGTCTTGATATCCATGGTGTCCAGCTTTTCTCTTGACCATGCTATTGTCCCAGCTGGGTATCTTGTGACAGGATGTTGATGACATGAACCAACACCCTTCTTCTTGCCATTAAACTAGGACTTCAGAACCTGTCTGACTGTCTGGAGGTTCTTGGATGTTACTGTACTCCTTGCCTATTCCCCATGTTGGTCATGTGTTTGTGGTATCCCCAGGTACTTGTAGCTAATCTCCTATTGGACCTTCTGCCTCTTCAACTCCTTCAGTCATGATCATTTTCCCACTTTTTGCTATCATTTACCCGCCCTTATATCTATGTACTAACTCGCTAAACAGCAACTGCAAAGCTCAGATAAATGAATAGGTTTGGATTGTTTGTTTTTTTTTAAAACAAGACAGGTACAGGGAACTGTTTGTTCCATAACCAATTAATGTTTATAGCATTGTGAGAGTCCTTTTTATTGTCTTGTTCCTGTTTAAAATTTGATTTAAATTTTTGTAGTAAAGAATCTTCAACATATATTTATTTATTAATACAATATCTTACCAGGAAGGATACATTGAGATTTCTCTCGTTTTCAAGTATGTCCTGGTTCCACAAAACATTGCATTGTTACAATAGGGTACAATAAAATACAAAAACAATATTAATACACAATATATACAAAATCTAACATAGAACAGGTAAGAAATATATAATCAACCATGACAGGTGCATTTTGTTTTGAAATATTTAGAAAGGGATCTCTTAAAGGATTTTAGACTTGGGGAAGATTTGAAAGTGTGTGGCAGGTTGTTCCATAATTGCAGTGCTCTGTAGGAAAAGGAGGATTGAGACACTTTCTTTTTGTATTGAGGTAGACTAAATAAAGTGCTGGTACTGGATCGCAGGTTATAGGAGGTGGGAGCAGCCGAGGAGAGCATTCTGTTCAGGTAGGGTGGGAGTTTCCCAGAAAAGCTCTCAAACACAAGGCTGGAAAGATGAAGGGTGCGTCTGGATTCCAGCGACAGCCAGTTTAGTTCTTTTAGCATGTCACAATGGTGAGTCCTGTAATTACATTGTAGCACAAATTAGCAGAATGAGTTATACAATGTATTCAGTTTATAAATTTGGGATTGCGCTGCAGATGCATATACTACATCCACATAATCAATGATTGGCATCAGCATTTGCTGTACAATCTTTTCCTTTACTGTAGGGCTTAGGCAGGATTTGTTTCTGTACAGGGCACCTAGTTTTGGATAAAGTTTAGATGCAAGCTTTTCTATGTGCAGGCCAAAAGATAGATTGGGGTCTAACAACATATCCAAGTATTTGAAAGAGTTGACTGCGGTCAGTGTGCTATTTGATTTTGTTTTGATGCATAGATGGAAATTTTGTAATTTGTGTAATTTAGGTACTGTTCCAAAGATCATTGTGACGGTTTGTGATCCACTTTTCTACCTCTGTAAACTGGTCTTGGAGCACAGCCTCAAGCTGCGGTAGATTGGATTTGCTTGCATAGATTACTGTGTCGTCTGCGTACATGTGTACATTTGAGGATTTGCAAATTAGGTAACTAGAAAAATGGTTCTTGGTAAAACATAATCTAAATAAGGAAATGAAAAGCCTTTCTTTGTATGTATTCAATAACCAATGAGTTATAAATTAGTTGATCACTAACTTGCCTATGGGTGACTTAGGTATTAAATAAGCAAGTTATAAAAAAGCATTAATATCATAAAGGTAAACAATTTTCACAGCTTGCCAGCTTACATTGAAAAAACAAAAATGACTAAAGTATAGCAAATCCCTCCAAAAAGTTTAATTTGTAAATACGAGGTGTGATACATATTTTTTAATAGATCTTCTAATAATATTTTTTCACATAAATAATTTTAAAAACCAAAAATGGCAGCATTTTAAAGAATATCTTTTTTTGTTCATTCTAAATAGTATTATACATATTCTGATGCACAGCTGTTCGTTGACACATAGGAGCCAAGTTCAGCCAAAATAGTGCAAATGGTCCTATTTAGTGTGTTATATGAGATATTTTCCTTGTGTTGGACTTAGTCTGAGCGTGGTCTGGTTTATGAGTTAGGGTCACTTGGTGAATATGAGGCAATATACATTATACTAAATCTTGTCCTGTTGTATCTGTTTAGGACCTATTTAAAATCATCAAAGTCAATTATGAGTGACCAGTGTTTAGCGCTTATAAAATCAGCAATGACCGTCAGATTAAAATCAATGTGCCTATTTAGGGTAATTGCATGCATGAAACAGCACTCAAGTTTGATAAAAGTACGTTAATCTGCTCTGCTCTAAAAACGATTTCCTAGATTCGACTGCCTTTGTCTCTTATTCTCAAATCCAGCGGCAGCTGTTTTACTGTATACACTCTCTTAGGATTTCAGAAGCAATGTTGCATCATATAGCTTTAACCCCAATGTGACCCAGCCCTGAAAGTATACATTCAAGCAAAAAAAACTGTTCAGTTGCAAATGATTAATGATGTCAGGATTTATACTCTATAGTCTACATGTCTGCAAAGAATTATAAAAACGGGCGCCACAAAGTTTCTATATATAAGGTATGGAGTATTGCATTGCAGAAGTATGACAAGGATATGGTGATCGTGTTTACACAGGTGCAGCAAGGGTTAAAATCACGTAAAGCTTGTTGATTGTTGTGATTTAGTAAAGATGTCTTCTGAGCCATTTTGCTACTTCCTTGCGTCTTCCATAAACTTCGAGTTCATGCTCCATATTTGGTAACATGGAAGGATGATGGGTGGGTGGGTGGGTGGATGGGTGGATTATATTTTTACACTCTATAAATATAATAAAATGATGATGCTTTATAAATTATTGGCATTTGGAGGTTACTGACAATACTATAGTGACTTGCAATGCATTCTATCCATCACTGCCTTTGATTTGAGACAATTATACATTCAATAACCGTGTATGCAATATTTAATATTCTATCCTCTCAAAAGAACAGCTGTTCCAAGAAAGAAAAAAAGAAAAAAGGGGGGAGGGAGGGAGGAAGAAAGAAAGGAAAGGAAGAAGTTCTTTTGCAGCCCTATCCTCTTTCCTTAACGTCACTCCACCTCACTGCAGGGTGAAGTAATTCATGGAGTGGAATGGCTTATGGAGACCAGAAAGAGGAGCGTGTGCCACCATTGGATGTTCATCACCAGCATGTGATGCATGCTAAAGATGGACGCATTTAATGCATAGATCTCTTTTTCCAGGCTACTAATAATGATACTAGAAGGTGAGTTACAGCAAAATGAAAGGGTTATTCCAAGCACCATGTCCATGAGTTTTATGCTGGCTAATGTTAATGCTGTGCATATTTGGCATCTATTGTCAACATGCTGGCAACAGACAACCACTAGCAACATGACCCCCACCCAAGTGGGGGCCACGTTGCCCAAGTCCTCTCCTCAACCCATCCTCCTTGACATTCCTCTCCTTGACGTGAGGGGGAGTGAAGTCACTGAAGGATGATCTGGCTGCCAGGACAACCTACCTAACCTTGGCATGGGAATTACAGGCAAATTCTTTTTTTTTCTCTATTATTGTTTTTCTTTTGAGGCAGAGAACATGCCAGTAAGGGTTACTCCAACTAAGAAGAGTTTTTTTTTTATTAAAACACAGTTTGTTTGGTTGGAATAATCCTTAAATTATCTCTGTATCTGCAGTGTTTTCTCCTAAAATGCTCAACATACACAGGGTTATTCACTTTTTCAAAGTGAATTTAAGGCGAATTTAAAATGTATGGCTAAAATAGCCAAACAGGAAAAATCCCTCTATTGAGTTATGTTGGCCTCAAATTTTAAATTCACTTTGAAATTCCCCAAAACTCTAATTTTAGTTAATAATTCTGACAGACTCCAAGCACCAAGGCCACTATCACTGTAGTGGTCATGGTGCTTTTAGTAAACAATTAAATCACATATTTGCCTGCTAGACACAAGTCTAGTACATACATTTGTCCACTAATGGTAAAACAAAAATAAAAATAACCATTTAACACAAATTCGTTTAAAGGGACACTTCAGACCGCTTCAGCACTTTAGCTTACTGAAAAGCTTTATGTGTAAAAAAGTGTGTACTTGTTTTTTCATTTTGCAAAAAGTGTAGATTTCAATAGAAATTGACACTTTTATAAAATAACCTGGTTACACCCCTTTGGTTTTCAAGAAGACAGCAGGCAATCTTACTTCCTGGTTTTGTTAGCTCAGTGGAGCTAAACTCAAGAGGCAGGAATTGCTCAAAGCACCTGCCTTGCAAAGACTTCACATTGAGCTGCATTGGGAAGGCTGTGATTGGACAGACACAGAAAGTCTGGGCGAGGTTAGAAAGGTTAGGTTTGCAAAGACAGCAGACAAAAGAACTGCAGGTTTTGCAAGCTGTATTCAGGTATATCCCCAGTAAAAAAACAAATGCATAATTAAACACGTGCAAGTTTTCATTTGGAGTAAATCTACTTAATAGTGATTTTCATTTATTTTCTATTTAAGACATTTAATTGTATTCTCTTACTTGTCTTAATTAAGCATTCACTAGATATCTGCAAACATCTCATTTTTTTCAACATTAAAAGATAATCTATACAAACTGAATATAAAGCGAATTTCAAATTTAGTCTTATACGTGTATAAAACTTTCATAAAAGAATGAGCTTCGATAAATATGGAACATAAGACAATAGAATTGTAGCTCACATTATTCTAATCATAAAGGGTTAAGTCTAGGTCAGTGTTGAAGATAAATTTCAACACAGACAAGGAACAAGAATAATATTTAACATTTACTTAGCATGTAAAATATATATGTCTGAAACTTTGTAGTATTCAGTGGGTAATCAGATTATCTACAGTACAGTGCAATACGTAAACCATACAGCCCATGGTAAATCCATTTGATAGGGAGCGTGAGTCTGGAAAAATAAAGAAAAATTCAATGCTAATTAGCCACGGGAGCTTCTAACTGAACAATTACTTGAACAATTTCCTCTCATAATGTCACATACTGCATATTCTGCAGCTCTATTTCCTGACAGACGTAAGGTTGTTTAAATAAAGGCGGCATAGCTGAAAATCAGACACGCTAACTTTGGCTTTGCGTAATAATCATTTCTGCAGCGATTAGTCCTGTAAAATGCTGAAATAACTTCTTTTTTTTTTTTGGTAGATAATTTTACTAAATTCCTTGAAATGCTTAATTCACAAGAGGATGATTGACATTAGCAACTAGACTGCATTCTTGTATTTTCAAATCAAATGTAATCCATTAATCTAAATGTATTCTAAAGTTGTTATACTAAATGGATAGAGACCTCTTTATAAGACTCAGGGTCTATTTACAATACTGTGAATTAAGCTAACTTGTCTAAAGATATGAATAAAATCTCCAATTCAACTCTTCACTAGACCAAGATGGGTGAAAAGTCACCTCATGCAGCCACCTTACATTTATTACAAATTGATTTGAGTTGGCTATGGTTAAAAAATGACTGACTTGCTATTACATATATTGCTAGTCAGCCATTGACATTTACATAAATTCTGAAATATGGCCAGGTCGGTTGTTCTATGTCAGATGTTCTTGATATCAGAACATGACCAACTGTGCTGTAAAATACTCATTCTGCTAGCATTAAGATAAGTAAATAAGGGGGCGGACTGCTTTTCATGGCAGCTGGATGCACATAATTTGAACTCCAAGCCTGATGTTCACATTTCATGAATTAATTGATTTCCAGCTCATAAAAAAGCCCTTATCTGAAAATTGCCTGCTCCAGGAGCCGACCGGGGTGCCTCATATCACTTTGGTTGATTGCATAACGTGCAATTATTGGAGGCTCCTGTGAGGCCTAGCAGATACGCCAGATGGGTGAGGCGATCGCTCCCCTGTCCAAGGGAAGCTGGGCTACTGCAGGCACATCTTGCTGCCCCGTTTCCCCCTTCTTCCCCCCCAATGGACCAGTGGGGGTTATCTCGGTCCCCACTGGGCAAGAACACATGTTGAAGTGAGTTGTCAGTACATTACCTACTCCAAATTCAGAAAGCAGATTGTCCCAACAAGATGGCGTCCACGCTTCTCTCTAATGGCACCAAGTCTTTACAGCCGAGGAGGGAATGCCCTGCTTCTGTTCTGCACTTCTTAAAGCAACTGGATGAACACTTCACCCAATTTTGGGCTTCATTAGCAGTTCGCCTAGCCCAAATGCCGCACAAGATTCTAACAAGAAACTGGAGGAGCGGGGGCCGGGTGATGACAGCGCCTACCTCGGGAATGCCTCCAGATACAGCGTTCCTTCTGATGTGCGCTTACCCAAACCAAGGGCTGCAAGGGGT